CACCTTACCTCTAGAACTATATCCCTCTAAAAGGGAGTTAATTAGCAGAGAACCTTTCTATACCCACAATAAAGTGTATGCTTGTTACAGTTCAACCCCACAGACACCCCAGAGAAACAAAAGGCATTTGGAAGAGCCAAGTAACCCTAAAGCTAGATCTCTGCTCAATTTATCCAGAAATTCCTCTGTAGGAAGTAAGGTGTGAGTAAGACCTGGCCTGAGGAAAGACAGATTATGGATGGAAAGACAGTCAGACATAACACAGAGATAGTCTGCTATGTATGATCCACAACTAAACTCTCAAGATTTTATGGACTATATATAAGTGATTAAAGTTGTTCTCTTTGATATTCCAGTTGGCCTGCTCAAAGATAAAATGCTCAATCTGACACCTCTGCTAGCTTCCAATTAATCAGTTTACCCCAAAAGTGTTCTCAAGAATACTTTTGCAATAAATCCCCCTTAATAATTCCTGTTTAGAACTCCATTCCTTTATTTAGTTGGCCCATCTACCACAGATTCCTTTATATGTAAGTGAGCAGTTTGCATGCAAAATAAATGGCATATAAAATAATTAAATGTTTCCAAGATGTTTTTGACAATGGATCAAATTGTATTTTCCATCCTTTTTTATTTCTATTCATTCTTTCCAACATTTATTCAATAAATATGTATTGAGTAATACTATATGCCAGTCACTGTTCTAGGTGATTGGTTATATAATGAAGAAATAAAATAACATGGTCCATGCATTCATGGTATTTACTTTCACAGGGTGACAGAATTAACCTGTAAATTCCTTATGGAAACAGCAAGCCCAAAGGCTCCCAGTAGGAAATTCAGAAATAGAGCAGTGGTTTCCAAACTCCAAACTGATCAGGCATCTCATCAATTAAAAAAATAATTTGCTCCGGAGAGGCGGAGCCAACATGGCGGCATGAGTAGGACAGTGGGAATCTCCTCCCAAAAACATATATATTTTTGAAAATACAACAAATACAACTAATCCTAAAAGAGAGACCAGAAGACACAGGACAACAGCCAGACTACATCCACTCGTGTCAGAGCCCAGCGCTT